AACCGGGGCCCTCTGGCGTCCCAAGCCAGCTCTTAACCATCGCGCCACTCAGCCGGCCCGAAATACATTAATTCTTAAAGGCATTTTCACTTCATAAAAATACTTCATAAAAAAATGCATTTATATCAGCGTTGTAACCAAGCAAAAACAAGAATGCTACAGTGTCCCTTAGCAGTATAATTTTCAGGATTAGTAAGACAGAAATGGTTTCAGCTATTTAAAAGTTCTACTGAATCACTTAGATTATCTGAAAAAAACTAAAACAATTTTTATTTTATTTTTCTTAAAAGATTTCTATTAAAATATAGCTAACATACATTATATTAGTTTCAGGAGTACACCATAATTATTCAACATTTATATACCTAAAGAAGTGATCACTATGATAAGTCCAGCAACCATCTGACACCATACCATGCTATCGCAATATTATTAACTATATTCTCTATCTGTACATTACATCCCCATGACTTATTTGTTTTATTCCTGGAGATTTGAACCTCTTATTCCCCTTCACCTTTCCCCTCTTTTTAAAATTTTTCAATTACAATTGACACTCAGTATTGTTTTATATTATTTTGAGGTGCACAGCATAGTGGTTAGACATTTATATAATTTAAGAAGCGAGCCCCCTGACTAGTACCCCCCTGGCATTATACATAGTTATTACCATATCATTGACTATATTCTCTATGCTGTACCCTACACCCCATGACTATTTTGTAACTGCCAATTTGTTCTTAATCCCTTCACCTTTTTCACCCTGCCCCAACCCCCTCCCATTGATCACCCCAACAAATCTAGTACCCATTTGACCCATACATAGTTATCACAATATTATTGACTTAATTCCTTATGCTACACCTTACATCTCCATGACTACTTTGTAACAACCAATTTGTACTTCTTAATCCCTTCACCTTTTTCACCCACCTCCCAATCCCCCCTCCCATCTGGCAACCATCAAAATATTCTGTATCTATGAGTTTGTTTCTGTTTTGTTGTTTATTTTGTTCTTCAGATTTCCTATATAAGCGAAATCACAATGTATCTGTCTTTTTCTGTCTGACATATTCCACTCAGCACAATACCCTCCAGGTCCATCCATGCCCCTGCAGATGGCAAGAAACCATTCCCTTCCATGGTCGAGCAATATTCCATTGTATATATGTACACCTCCTGTTTTTCCCACTGATGGAATCCAGGCTGCCTCCACGTCTTGGCCATTGTAAACAATGCTGCAATGAACATGAATGCGCAGCTCCCCTCAGAGTAGCATTTTGGGTTTCTTCAGATAAATACCCTGAAGTGGGATTACTGGGTCCTTTATTGTTTCTTGTTATAACCTTTGTTTTAGAGTCTATTTTGTCTGGTATAAGTATCACTACCTCCATTGTTTTTTTTTTTTTCATTTCCATTTTTATGAAATATCTTTTTCCATCTCTTTCCTTTCTGTGTGTCTTTTGATCTGAAGTGAGTCTCTTGTAGACAGTAAATGTAGTCTTGTTTTTTTATCCATTCAGCCACACTACCGTTTGAATGGAGCATTTAATCCATTTACATTGAAGTAATTGTTGATAGATATGTAGCTATTGCCATTTTATTATTCATATTTTTAATCTTTTATTTATTATTTATTTTCATCTTTAAGAAGTCCCTCTAACATTCCTTGTAATACTGGTTTGGTGTTGATGAACTCCTTTAGCTTTTTCTTGTCTGGGATGCTCTTTTTTTGTCCTTCTATTCTAAATGATAGCTTTGCTGGGTAGAGTAATCTTCGTTGTAGTTTCTTGCTTTCCATCACTTTGAATATTTCTTGCCAATCCCTTCTGGCCTGCAGAGTTATTGTTGAAAAATCAGCTGACAAGTCTTAAGGCAGCTCCCTTGTAGGTAACTAACTGCTTTTCTCTTGTTGCTTTTAAGATCCTTTCTTTGTCTTTAACCTTTGGCATTTTAATTATCATGTGTTTTGGTGTGGGCCTCTTTGGGTTCATCTTGTTTGGGACTCTCTGAGATTTCTGGTCTTGTATTTCTACTTCCTTTGCTAGGTTAGGGAAGTTTTCCATTACAATTTCTTCGAATAGGTTTTCGATTCCGTACTCTCTCTCTCTTTTCTCCTTCTGGATTTGCATCCCCTATGATGCAAATGTTGGTAGACTTGATGCTGTGCCAGTGGCCCTTTAAACTATCCTCAGTTTTTTTTATTCTTTTTTCTTTTTGCTGTTCTGATTGGGTGTTTTCTACCTTATCTTCTAAATCGCTGATTCAGTCCTCTGCTTCATCTAATCTACTGTTGATTCCCTCTAATGTATTCTTTATTTCCGACTGGTTCTTTTTCATGTTTTCTATGTCCATTTTTCTGTTTCCTATCTCTTTGTTGAAGTTTTCACGGAGATCCCTGAGCATCCTTATAACCAATGTTTTGAACTCTGCATCTGGTAGATTGCTTGTCTCCATTTTGTTTAATTCTTTTTCTGGAGCTATATTCTCCTATTTTATTTGGGACATGTTTCTTTGTCTCCCCATTTTGGCTGCCTCCCTGTATTTGTTTCTATGTATTAGGTAGAGCTGCTATGCCTCCCAGTATTAGTGAAGTGGCCTTACGTAGTAGGTGCCCTGTGGGGCCCAGTGGCCAAGTCTCCCTGGTCACTAGAGCTGGTGTGTCCCTTGGTGTGTTGTGTGTGCTCTCCTGTTGTAGTGGAGCCTTAGCTGCTGTTTGCATGTGAGTTGAAGGGATTGAGCCCTCGGGGCTGACTGATTGTGAGGACTGGTCATGACTACAGTGGAGGAGCTGTTGTGCAGGGCCTGACCCTACAGAGCCAGATTCACTTTAGAAGAGTTCTGGTGCCTGCCCAGTCTGCCCTTTGGGTGTGCTGTTCTTGGAGGTGGCTGGGTGATGCTCCAGTGCTCGGGCTCAGTCCAAAACTGGCCACTGGGTACGCCAGCCCTGGGGCCTCCTGGGAGGGAACCTGCTGCAGGCCAAATTCAACCACAGCCTGGGCCCTCCCCAGAGCCACCTCGCATGAGCCACAAAGCAATCTACAGATGACTTGCTCCTGTACTGGGCTTGGAGGTGCCTTGAGAGGCCAAGCCACAACTGAGGTTGGCAGTTGCTAGTGCTGGGCTTGGGGCTGCTCATCTAAAGGAACAGGACATGCTGAAGCCAGATGCTGCTTGTTTGGGTTTTGTGAACCTTTGAGAGACTTTAGGAAAGTCTGTGGCATGGGCAAAGGCAGGAGGTTGGTACAAAAAAGCCACAGTGAGCGGCTTGAGTGTGCCTGCAAGCTGGGTTATGTGGGGTCGCAGGGAATCACCAGGGCGGGGTGAACAAATGGTGTTAGCCAGATTGATGCAGACTCAGATATGGTGGCTACCTGTGTCTGCACACATGAAAGGGAGGGCTCACAATGAAACAGTGGCTTCCTTCAGCTCCTGTCCAGGAGATAGTTGCCCCTCCAGCCCTCACCCTGAGGCCAGACAATCAGTTCCTCCCCATATGTCCCTGGCACCTTTTGAGCTGCTGCCCCAGGGCTGAAGCTCAGAGTGAGTGGGTCCATCAGTGAGTAAGTCCATGCACGGTCCCTTTAAGAGGAGCACCTGGAAGTGCAGCCATCCTCCAGCTCACTCAGCCACAATCTTCAGGTGATTCTCAATGATAGTTGTTCTGTATTTTAGTTGTAATTTTGATGTGGTCATGAGAGGAGGCAAGCACAGTGTTTACCCACTCCGCCATAGTGACCAGATTCCAGACTAAAACAATTGCTAAATGATTAAGCATGAAAATATGCTTACTAGAATCCTAGCTTTTAGTTAAGAAACCAGACATTATTAAAGCAGTTGTGTAATTGCCGCTTCTTGTGAAAGAATAATACATAGAGCTGTGATTTAGGAAACTCTTTAAGTTTATTAATAATTTTCTGAATTTCCTTTATTAAATAAGATCCTATAGAATTTGTCATGTAGCATCAACTGGGAATAACTATGCCTTAAGATATTGTATTTTCGAGGGGTTATTTGTTATTTTAGAGGCTCCAAGACATCTTCTAAACCTCAATTTAAGAAATATATTATAGCAGCAGCTACCATTTAATGAGTGCTCATTATATTCCAGATAATGTGCACGTTCTATTTAATTAAATAAAACGTTGCTGAAAAAGTAGGTCAGCTCAACATTTTAAAATGTAAAGAGTGATACTTCAGAAGGATTGAATAACCTGTCCTAAGTCACAGATAGCTAGCTAGTGAAGGCCAAAGAGTTATTAGGGATGCACTGAAGTTAACACTGTGGTCTAAGAGATATTCTGCATAAATTAAAATTCTAAAATCCCATACAGAACCTAACTGTATTAGGAGTTCAGACAAGTAAAAAGTTAACATGGGCTAAAGTAGAAGACACATGCTTCACTAAGGAATAATTGTTGAGTTGAACTCAACAGAAGGTAAGAGTTATTTAAGGACAGAGGTTGGAGTATGGAATTCTCCAAGAGGTAAGAGATATAGGTTTGTGTAGATACAGAAAGAAGGCTAGTTTAAGGCACAAGATTTATGCTAAGAAATAAGAAATAAAGTTAGATGTAATGATATAATTATGCAAAGTACCATGTAATAAACTTTTTAATATTTACTCTTAATTTTATGTTTAAATTAAGCTTGTTGATATTATCTCATTTCACCCTTACAGCAGCCTATGAGGTAGGCATTAACCTTATTTTGCAAATAGGAAAACTGAAGGTCGGTAATAGTAACTTGCCCATGATCATACTAGCTATGTGAAAATCAAACCCAGTCTATAAGGCTGTTCCCTAGCCCTAAACCAGTGGTTCCCAAACATTACAGTTTACACTCATCATTTGGGGAGCTTATTTAAACACAGGATTTCTGGAATCATTTTAAGCATCAAATATATGGTCTCCAGAATTATTTTTAACAAGCACCTTCTGAAGATGCTGTGAGAACTGTGCTTTGGAAACACTGTACTTAGCCATATTATCTCAAAGTTATAAGGATTGGATAAAATACTATAAGACAGTGGGCAAATAATAATAATAATAATAATACAGTAATACTTTAGTTTGCGAGCATAATTCGTTCCAGAAACAAACTCAAATTGCAAGGCATCGCTCGTTTACCTAGTTAAAATGTATTAGAAATGTTTGCTCGTCTTGCGGAACACCTGCATACGAAGTTACTCGCAATCCAAGGTTTTACTGTATAATAATAACCAACACTTTCAGAATACACTATGCCAAACACTGTTCTAAGCACAATACAGTCAATCCTCAAAAACCACGAGGTACATACATACTATGCCATTTTTTAGAGATGAGGAAACTAAGGCATAGACAGGTTAAACAACTTACCAGAGGTCATGGCTAGTAAGTGGCATTTGAAACCAGGAAGTCTCACTTCAGAGTCCATGCCCTTTTACCATAGGAGTGTATGGTGAGAGCAGTGTGTAGGGGGTGAGATGGGCTGAAGGGTGTAGAACATGGAGGCAGGATATAAACTTTGAGACTTTTTTTACAGGGGCTCTCATTTGAATCAAACAGCTTTTAGAATCAAATCATTATTTCTCAGTTGGATTACATGAAGTGGAAACCACGACAATAAACCATTTTTTTAAATCTTAAAACATCATTAAGTGAAAAAAACAAAAACAAAAATTCTATCAGAGCTGTTTCCAGCCCTAAACCCTCTCCCACTTAGTAGAAATCCCATGCATGCTTTAATACTTGCTATACTGAATTCTACAGAATGTTCAGGAAGAGAAGGAATTCCAAAAAGGAGAAGCCAACCCAGTACCAATAAGTCACTCATCTAGGCTGAGAGGCAGTCCTCAGGAGCTGCTAACCCCATCTGAGAGCTGACTCAGATGTTTGACAGGTGCCTCAATTACTGAACAAACAAGTCCAAGGTATGATGAATTTTACCTTCATCTGCTGCCTTTTCTGTTTTAGTACGGACCAACAACTTGAAGCCACAGCCTAAATATATGCAGAGGAGAAAAAACAAGATTTAAATTTATAACTAATAAACTTTCCATTTAGAAGACAGTCCTTTTTATTAGAAAGTCAAAGTTGATTGGTCTAAAATGTTCAAAACTAACTACTAATAAGAACTAGTCAAGGTTCCTTCTACTCTTTGTAAATGTTAATGAAAAGGTGTTTTGTTTTTATAAATTTTAAAATTAAATACAAAGACACTAAAGAAAAAAGGATGAACTCAGGTCCCAATGAACTTGGTAGTTATAATTCAACTCCCAGAGTTCTTAAATTCTGTTCCTACAGGAAAATAGTAGAAACGTGTATACATAGATGCACAATATACAATAAATGTTTTATGCATAACAATGAAAACAAACTACTTTTGTTACAAGAACAGTAATGCTAGAAATAGTTGTGGGTAGAGCTAACAGTTTTATTCAAATAAAGAGCTAAGAAATACAACCATAATGATATGGACAAAAACATCCACGTGGTTCCTGAAGAAATCTGACCTACTCTGGCACGACCAGACTTTGTCAAGGTCACTTGACCAAATTAGTTACAGAAATGGAGATAACACGTACCTTTTATGGTTAAAGCATACTTTGAGGGAAATGTGGATTTATTAAAACTATTTTAAAATTTAGTATCAGGAATTTGCAAAATAATTGTGAAATAGCCAATTGAAACATTTTTAAAAGGCATTCAAACTTCATCATGAACATCTATCCCACCTACTTCCAAGTACACACACACACTTAAAGCCCAAGAACAACAATAAAAAAATGTCAAATAGAGATTTGAGTACAAAAAACAACAGAAAGCAAAAATATTCAAAGTATAGAATACAGTTTAAGTCTGCTTTTTTGGGCACATGCTTATTTTTTTGCTTCCCTAATTTTTCATAGTATTTGGGAACATGAATTTCCATATTTTCCTCTAAAACATATATATTGTCTTTTACTGCAATAGCTGTATTTCATTTAAGTCGTAGAGCCATTTCAGTTACAGGCATTTTTTTTCTAGTCCTGAACTAGTCTGAAGCCTGAGGGTTTTTTGTTGTTGTTGTTGTCTGTCTTTTTTTTTGAGATCTAAGGAAATACTGAATATTTCAGGTCAAGACAGAGACTGATAGAAGAGCCTAAAAAGGAATTTCATCTGAAGATGTTATACATACCGTATTTGCCGGCGTATAAGACGATTTTTTGGCCCTGAAAAATATGCCTCCAAGTGGGGGGTCATCTTATACGCCAGGTACACTTCAGATAGACTGCCCATAGTGCTTGCCCCGTGCCATAGTGGCCTCCCGATGCCCGCCCACTTCATTCCACATACCGTTCAGGCATCAGCAGCACTGCTGGGTGTATGCTCGGCTGTTACGCGATTTTTCTGTTATGTGATTTTACCACACTCGCAAAATCGCACACAGCCGACCATACACCCAGTATGATAGCGCAAAATCGCGAATCGCGATACCATACTGGGTGTATGGTCAGCTGTGTGCGATTTTGCGAGTGTGGTAAATTCGGGTTACCGTATATTTCTTTACATATGCATTGAAGATTCGCGATTTTGCACTATCATGGTGCCTGTTAGAATGTTGAAGAGCTCGCACCTGCACACTAGTGAGGTCCCAGGGAGATGCTGATGCAAGGGTGGACCAGACTGCTATAGTGACAGGGCGGGCAAACAGGGAGCAGGGACCAATCAAATCAGGCTTTGTATACAGCCAACAGCCAACCACAATACTGCACCATTGTACAGTACAGCATAGAAAATGTCGACCAGTCAAACCCCTATCATCCCTATCATGGCACCAGCCAAAAGAAAGAAGTATGATGCAAATTTTAAACTGAAAGTTATAAACTTTGCTAAGGAAAATAATAATTGTGCTGCTGCAAGACAATATGGAGTAACAGAAAAGATGGTTCGGGACTGGAAATCAAATGAGAAAGCATTAAAGAGTATGCCAAGGGGTAAGTGTGCATTAAGAAGAGGCACCCCACACTGGCCAGAACTCGAAAAACATGTAGCAGACATGGTGGCTCAACATCGCCAAAACGGTTATGTGGTGACACGAAATACAATACGCTTGTTTGCACTTCAGTGGGCCAAATCAAATCTGATATTGTTTTACCTTTTATTTGGTGTGTGGAAGGTGTGCGGAAGAGGGGGTAGTCTTATACGGCGAGTATATAACAAACTCTGTATTTTGAGTGGAAATGTTAGGGGGTCGTCTTATACGCCCAGTCGTCTTATACGCCAGCAAATACGGTATCTGATCCCAGTATCAAAGGATGAGCTCAGTGTGCACACTAGTCATTCTACAGGCAGATATACATGTAACTCTTATTAATCTTTCCAGTTCTGACCATTTTCCATTAAATTTAAACGGTTGAGAAAGGTAAACCACCACTTACAGTTTCTTTGAAGGAGGTGTTCAGCCAGCGGTTATTTACTACATTCTGTATGGAGGTGGGTGGGTTTTCTAAATCTTCAAAGGAATCCATTAATATAAAATCCAGAACAACATCATAGAAATTTAGATTTTTCACCTGCATTAAATTATGAATTAAAACAGAAATTATTATTACATAGAGCTGAAATAAATTTCTGAGCCAGAGCTTCAGACTTTAAAATAGCTGGTGATTTTAGTTGAGTCAGATTATATTTTTAGTTGAGTCAGGTTATATCTCTGACAAAAAAAAAAAAGGAGACACAAATATGAAAACAACTCACCACCAGAAATTATAATTCGCATGACAGCTGTTCCTTCCTAGATCCCATCAGGTGAAATTAATCTCTCCCTCCACTCTATTCTAGGAGTCCTTTGTTCATGCTTTCATTATGGTACCCACAATGCTCATTCTGCTTTGTCATTAGTTATTGGTGTATCTGTCTTCCCCAGCACATCATGAACCTCTTGCTCTTTCATTCATTCATGCATACGGTATTGTACTACATGCTATATGAGGAGCTCAGGTTTCTACAGTAAGCAAACTAGATGTTTAGTTTAGTGTGGAAAACAGACAGCAACAAATAGTACCACAGATACACAACAACAAAATGTGATAAGCACAGTAAAGGAAAAAGTACATGGTGTTATGAGAGTTTATGACAGAGCTTCTAATCTAGACTGAATGTCACAGAGGATTTTCTTCAGAAAGTGAGGCATCCCAGGTACAGGAAATCCCTTGTCAAAGACTTTAAGGTAAGACGGAACACAGCGGCAATGAGTCAAAGGAAATCACAGCAAGGATGCTATAGCTCTTTACAGCAGAGAGCAAAGAGGCGAGACAGGAGGAAGGGCCAGCTCCTGCAGGGGTTATAGCCCATGTTAATAATTTTGGATTTTTTCTTCACAATATTTTTAGGGGACAGTGGTGGAATGAAGATAATCAGCTTTGTAGTTTTAAGGAATGTTCTGGCAGCAATATGGAGAATGGAATGGAGAGGAGAAAGAGTGAATGCAGGGAGTGGAGGAGTAGGCTAGGGATCAGGAAATGCAAAGACTCTGAGATAGTCCAAGGAAAGACAACAGTTACTCGGACTTCAAGGGGGATGGCAGGAACAGAGAAAAACTGAAGAAATTGAAAGATGTTCAGGAGCTGAAATTGACAAAGTTAGAGATGAATACGGTAAGGGAGGCGAGGACCAGGGAGGTGTAAAGGGCAGGTCCCAGGTTCTAGCCTGCACAACTGAGCGGATGCCGATTCCCTCACCAAGTGAGGGAACACTGGGGAAGGAAAGATTATGCCACTATGTCTCTGCACCTACTGCTTTTTCTGCCTACAATGCTTTTCGGCCCCTTGCAAACTCATTCTTTAAGCTTCCGTTACAACAAACTGTTCCAGGCTCCTCGTGTACTCTCCCTGTCCCAGTGCTGAAATCAGCCATTTTTTACAAGGAGACCTAGTTCTTTTGAGTGGACAGTGTTACTTAGAAACCAAGATCTGTGTGCAAAGGGTAATTTCTTTTGAGGTGTTGCTGCTCCCAGACCTTCTCAGTGAGCAGAGCTAGGTAGTACATGTCTGTTTATGTAGATGTAAGCCTTTACATCTATTTCTGTATCTATCTATCTATCTATATATATGGTAAACTATGAATCCGCACTGACAGCTCCAATTCCAATACTAGCTTTTTATATCTCCATTCTCTGACAATAAGGCCTGGCTCCAATTATTCTCAATATATTTGTTTGTTTGATATTGTATATGTAACCAACCCCCTAGCCCCAGACAGCTGCCTGTGGTTCCATCTGAAGCTGGCTCTGCAAAGGCCACCATTACCGCCTTGCTAGGGCCTGCTCTAGGAAGGAAGGAAGGCAGGAAGGCAAGAGGGAAGGACGGATGACCACACAATTGGTTTTCCTGTCATTTAACAAGGACAAGGAAACAGTGGCCTCAAATTATGTAAATACTATGTGTAAATAACTAACAGGAATAAATGTAAAAAAGATTAAACTTACTCCTCTAGCAGCTAGTTCCATTTCAGTACTATCCCAGTGATCAGTCTGCTCTAAAAAATAGATCATTTCATCAAAAACGTCTTCAAACTTCTTTGGATTCTGCCGAAGAAAACACACTTTAATCCTAAACTCAACTTTCTAATAAAGCTCAAGCCTACAAAACAAATGAGTTACTCTTCAAGTATATTTGTTACATCTTCATTCTATTAGGTAACAAGTAAAATACATTTTCAAGGTATGCCATATTCATTTGGTTTAATATTTTGTTGTTCCAACATTTTGCAGCAGGCAAGACTAAGAATGTTAGTAAAATGTCATAAGCAAACTGCTTATGTATGTATGCATACAACAAAAATGTATGCGTAGTGCGGCCAGTTAGCTCAGGTGGTTAGAGCGCAGGCTCATAACACCAAGGTTGCCGGTTTGATTCCCACATGGGCCAAAAAGCTGCACCCTCCACAACTAGATTAAAGACAACTACTTGACTTGGAGCTGATGGGTTCTGCAAAAACACACTGTTCCCCAATAAAATTTCAAAAAAAAAAAAGGTATCGTATTTAGGTCAGTCCTTAGGCTGAAAATGTGGTCACAGAAGATACCGTGTGAAGCTTCTGATGCAGTTCTACTCCTTTAGGAGGAACTCTAGTTCAAATCGCTGCCATGGGAAGGCCAAGAAAGCAATATAAGATTTACATTGGGAATTGCAAGTAGTTACTATCGCCTCTCATTTATTTTGTACTTTATAAAAAATTTGCTTTCCCTTTGAGCATTTATTTAATCATCATAAGAACCCTCTGAAATAGAGTACCACAAATATAAGTCTATTACACAAATGATGGTATTGAGGTTCAAATAGTTTGGGTCTGAAAACCAGGTGTTCAAGTGGCTCAAGGAAGTTCCATTTCATTTTGGTTTTCCTCATCATCTGGACACACCTTTGCATAAAGAAAAGTTGTTCCTTACAGTCTTTATGAAGTTCTTTTCATTGCTCCTGCCTCATTCAGTCCCATGAAGATGAGTAAGAGTAAGAGGCAGCTCGATTTATATTTCCAGATTTCTGAGATCTACACTATTTCCTGGAACCTTCTTACTGAACAGGATTGAGGGAGGTAAGAGAAGAGGTATTAGAAATAATAATAGTGGTGGGTGTAGTGGCAGATCTAATGATAATTCTCATCAGGATATTCACAGGCTTTATGACAAACTGGGAATAATTTATGAGAAACGACTTGATCAAAACGGTGTAGGCTTTAAACATAGAAAATAAATCAACCCAAGTAGAAATCAATGCTCTTTGGATTACTTTAAATATGACGAACAGATGCAAATACCGCAGGCCTGCAAACAGTATAAACGCATCGGAGACATCCTTTGCAACTAGCTACAAAAACCGTTTCTTCTTTAAAAATTTAATGTATTTTCATCTTCAGTTCAATTGAAACGATAAAAAACTTGCCAATAAAACAAGTTTACCTTTCGTGCTTTCACAATTAACGCTGATAAAATTTTCCTTCCACTCTCAGCAAGGAATATTCTGTTGGCTGTTTCTGAAAGGATTACCTGAAAAAAATATCCATCCCCACACAAAGAAAAAGGAGACCTATAATTAATTTGAATGTACATTTGCATTTATAGCACATCGATGCACAAATAACCCTAACATAGTCAATGCATTGTATTTGGCAGTATTTCAGCAGGCAGACCCTAGAAAAGTCCTAATTTACTAATATAAAATGAGCTCTTGAAACCTATAATCAAAAAAGATTAAAGAGAGATACATCTGAATTTAAATTCTGTTCAATTTAATATTAGAAAGTCCAAAATAAATGTTAAATAGCCCCAAAACATAAAAAGTAAAGGTAATTTTGTTGTTTAATTACCTTATTTCACTTCAGGAAATCAATTATTTTACAATTGACTCAAATAAAAACAATCTGGAACACACGCTAATTTATAATAAGAAAAAGGGTTTTTATTTTAAGCAGCCATTTGTACACATCTTCAGCAGCAAAATATCCTGTTTTGACAAACTGTAGTGGACCTGGGAAGCCAGTGGAGAGGACAACGACAAATGAAGCCAAATGAAGGGAAAGAGCAGGCATGAAAAATAAACGTAGCAGACTTTATATTTGCCATTAAGAATAAGGATAATAAAAAAGCAAAGAGCTGTCCTGTTTATAGCAGCTGGACTCTGTAGCATGAGGGTGGGGATGAGTGGCTGGGTAAAGTACCTTAATGTTAAAAAAAAAAAAAAATACCTGAAAAGCCTGTCGAATACAGTGAAGTTTGGCAAGAAAATCACTGTCTCCTAGGCACTCCAGCATTTCGGTTCTATGTAATAAACAGGGGAGACAACTGTTACACTCTAGTCGAGAACAAAGCCTGCTACAAATGTGGACTCAAACAAGGCTTAACCTCAGCACCTTAATCTAAAACACATGTCTTTTCAATACTGACAAAACACGGTAAAAGAATTTTTTTGAGCCTAAAACATACTTTCCCCTGTTCTCATAACCATTTTTAGTTTAATAACTATCATACAAAACATAGCAACAGCACCTTAATATTTTTCATAAACATAAGCGAAACTGAAATGGTACCTAAGCACTCTTGAGTAAATTTTTCCATCTTCAACTAAATGCATGGCTTCTTCGTAAAAAGGACAGTGACAAAGAGACTCTAGACTGTAGGTATGCCGCACTTCTCTGTGTTCTGCAAGCTAAGCATACAGTGGGTTAGAACACACTACAATGATATAAGGGGGGAAAAAACTATACAAGATAGAAAATAGGATCTTGCTAACATCAAAACATACTCAATTTGATTAAACCATAAAAACCATTCAATAAGATTTTACAACTAGTAAGATCTAAATTCATTCTATTTCAAAATTCAGCTGTAAAGAAGAGTAAAACTTTACAATAAGCTTAGTTCATTCTGAATCCAACTAGTTAAATCCATAGGGTACACAGAAAATCAGTATCTTATAGTTCACCACCAAAAAAGCCCACCAAAAACTGAAGATGAAGCATTGAAAAAAAAAGGAGGAGGATTTTATCACCCAAAGAATGCTTAAAAGAATGCAGTTTCCAGTTACCCACAGTCAACCATGGTCTGAAAATATTAAATGGAAAATTCCAGAAATAAATAATTGATAAATTTTAAATTGCACACCATTTGGAGTAGTGTGATGAAATCTCATGCTGTCCCACTCCATCCACCCAGGATGTGAGTCACCCCTTTGTCCAGCGTATCCATGCTGTATGTGCTACCTGCCTGTTAGTCACTTAGTAGCAATCTTAGTAACCAGATCGACTGTGGCTGTATCACAGTGCTTATGTTCAAGTAACCCTTATTTTACTTAATAATAGCCCCAAAACACAAAAGTAGTGAAGTTGGCAATTCGGATATGCCAAAGAGAAGCCATAAAGGGCTTCCTTAAAGTGAAAAGATAGGTATGTATAGGAAAAAACATAGTATATATAGGGTTCGGTGCTATCCATGGTTTCAGGCATCCACTGGAAGTCTTGGAATGAATCCCCCAGAGATAAGGCGGGACAACTGTATATTCACTGGCTGTGCAGTCAGCACCACTTACTAATTCCAGAATATTTTTATCACCCCAACAAGAAAGCCCTGCCTATTAGCATTCCCCCTTTTTTCTAGTCCCTGGAGACCACTAATCTACTTTCAGTCTCTATGGAGTTTCTACTCTGGAAACTTCATATAAATGAAAAAGTATGTGACCTTTTGTGTTTGGCTTCTTTCCCTTAGTGTAACGTTTTCAAGGTTCTATGATGTAGCACATATGACTACTTTGTTCTTTTTTTATGGCCGAGTTGTACGGCTATACACCACATTGTATTTATCCATTCCTCAATGATAGACATTTGGGTTGTTTTCACTTTTTGGCTATCACAATTAAGGCTGCTTTGAACATCTGCATACAAGTTTTTTATTTTTTCATTTCTCTTGAATATATACCTAAAAATGGAAGGGTCACAGGATAACTCTATGTTTATCTTTTTGAGAAGTTGCCAAACTGTTTTGCAAAGTGGCCGCCCCATTTTCCATTCCTACCAGCAATGTATGATGAATCAAAATTTTCCATACCCTTCCCGACAATTATTGTCCATCTTTTTTATTGTAACCACCCTACTGTGTGTAAAGGGGTTTAATTTCCCTAATGACTAATGATGTTGAATATCTTTCACCTGCTTATTGGCCCTCATATATCTTGGCAGAAATGGCTATTCAAATCCTTGGCCCGTTTTTAACTGGATTATTTGTCTATTTATTGTTGAGGAATAACAATTCTTTATGTATTCTGGATATAAGTTCTTCATCAAATACATGGCTTCCAAATATTTTCTCCCATTCCGCTGCCTTTTTCACTTTCTTGTTGGTGTCCTTTGAAACACAAAAGTCCTTACTTTAGATAAATTCCACTTAGTCATTTTTTTCTTTTGTCTGCTTTAACTTTCACTTTCTGCTTGTGCAGAACATCAAGGCAGCCAGAGAGAGGGTCAGGGACGTCTAAGGTCTTTCTTGAACATATGCAGATCCCTGCACATGTTTGTGGCCTTCTAGATTCCCGGGAATATGTGGGAGCTTTTCAAAGACCCCTATAAACATCTCATTGCCCAATTTTTCCTTTTAAGTTTTTTGGTCAGTCTTTTGCTAGCCCCAACTGGCATCACTACCTCGGGCAGCTGTCATGTTAAACAATTACCATTGAGCCTCTGGTTTTCAGTTAACCATAGTTGTGAGGCTGTTGGTTTGCAAGACTACTGTGGAGAATGGGGTGGGAATAGAGCAAATTAAACATCCACAAAGTTCACTCTTCTTAAGAGGATTCAGCCAGTTTTCTTGAATAAGTGCTTCTTGAAGTTTTACACGTCTTTCATTAATTTTTAGAGTTCCAAACATTTTTATTTTGACAATTTTTGCCAGTGTCTTTGGACTTTTGTGGAGAAGTTTAGAGGTTTTTACTGTACTATTCTGGAAGTGTTTGTCCATGCTACAGTTCTGACACTTCATATGCATTCACTACTGTGCTAAATGTTTTAACTTAATTATCTCACTTAATCTTTACAACTCATCAAGTAGGTGCTATTATTATCCACATTTTACAGATAAAGAAACAGGTTTAGATTAGCAGGCACTTGCCCCAAGTCCTACAACTAAATGGCAGAATTGAAACCTAGGCATTTATTCCAACGCTTGTACTCTTAAATATCAAATCAGTCTTTCCTATCAGCCTTATCCAAAAATCCAAGGGGGAAGAAGTTTAAGCATCAGCAATATTTAAGATGATATAAATAGGTTTATTAGACCAGAAGCAAAAGAAAAAAAAGGTAAACCGAAATAACAATATCTGAAATTACATATTTTCTGCTTTAAGTAATATTTCCTCTCATATTTTAATGAAGATGTATTTTGCTAATGGAAAAGTGTTTTTGAGATTATAAAAAACCTAACAGTTTAAAAAAATAAATTATAATGTAAATTCTTTAGATATTAAATAAAGTTTTGTACCACTATCAAAACAAATAGGATCTATGTACACCTACCAGTAGAAAAAAATCCTAAGGAAGAAACAAGGACTCCAATTGAACTCTACATAAAATAATTTATACTAATAAGAAGTGAATAAACCTAGCAATGAGAGAGTCCAGAGTCAAGTTTTGATTTACTGGTCTACCTTACTTATTTGTTGGTTTGGCTGAGGTGATCATTTAAAGTAAGTCTCTTAAAATAGGCTTGCAGCTGTGGAAATACGTCATATTGAAGATTTGATACTAGCTAACATCAACTCTTCAGAGACGACAATTCAGAAACATTTAAATCATGAATCTTCAGTTTTTTAAAGCAAATCACTAAAATGATGGTTTAAATTCTCATTTGAGAATATATTTTATAGCAAGAATTTTTTGAAAACTTTCCAAAAACTTTTTTAAAGGTTTCACAAAAAGATTAGCATTTTACTGAGCTGAGATGTTACTTCAGAAACAGAAGTCAGTAACACAGTTTAATCCCAGCATTTGGAAACATGTAATTCGCCAAAAAAACCAAAACCAAAAACAAAACAAAACTCTGTTTTTATTTTTGCTAGCTGAAACTTTTGAAATGTCCTTTATTTCTAAATTTTTCTTTCCCCCAAACAGTACATTTCAAAAACTCACTTTAATATCTTTACACAGAAAAGTAATACTACATTGGTTTATACCAAAGCATCATCCCGCCTTCTTAGTTATCTTCCATAGTTTACAGGTGTCATAAAAACGACCATGTATGAAATCAAACAAGTCAATAACAACAACGGCAATAATAAAAACAGGCAAAATAGATAAAACTCATAGATATAGCTATCAGTGAAAAGAATGTTTGGGGATTAGCTGAAGATTTCAAACGCCCTAAATTTCTTCTCCCCTGCCCTTGATGAAGGGCACAAGAGACTGGGCCTTTTCTTTCTGGGCAAGCAATGACTTTGCTGAATGTGAAGTAATACTTTTAAAAGCCTTAATATTTTTAAAATCCTCTGAACAACCATGAAAGAAATGTCCAACGTCCCAAAACTATTATAAGCAGGGTCATGAAATAGGCTAAGTTCCATTTTGGACTATTTTTTACATGGTAATATTTTCCTTTCAAATCAACCACCTAAATTTACAAATAGAATTTAAGTTCGGCCGGCCAAGTGGCTCAGTTAATTAAGGGTTAGCTTAAGAGCAGGGGCTCTGAGCAGCGGGGCCATGGGTTCGATTCCCACATGGGCCAGTGACGCTGAGCCCAAGCTGAGCTGCTGCTGAGCTGCCAACAGGTGGCGGGATGGCTCAGCTGGGGAGAAAAAGAAAACAAACTTAGAACTTAAGTTAAAGGAAACAGGCTGACTGTATACCCCATCTCATGAACAGAAAATAAATAAATAAAGGAAATAACCCTCCAAAATCGCCCTCAATGATTCCCTCTTCCTGGTACTATCTCCTTCCATGCTGTATAGGGCTAACCTGTTTAACCAATAGGATACTGTAAAAATGATGGAGTGTGTAAGAAGGTGGGCTGCTCAGTCCAGGAGTCACTCCGTATCTAATATATGCAGATTCAGAATTAAATACCAAAACAATAGGCTCCCTGGATTAGTCTTTAGGACTCAGTTCTCACAACTGTAAGGCCCATGACCTTCAAAAAAATCACCCCATAAACTTTGAATTTTAAGGTGATAACTCCTAAAACGCTTGAGCCTCTATTAAACCCCATGTGTGCAGCTCCCGGAAATTATAAGGCCCTAATCTAGATTAACGCTGACATGCGCCGGCTGCCTAACAATCTCCAAACTGGGGGGCGGAGCCCCCTCTCAAGGACATGCCCATGAGACCTAGGGCAGGCCCCTCAGCCTCAGCACCAGGCCTGAGCCCACACCTGAATTTTATTGTTGTTTTACTTGTAAAACACTAAATCTGGGGTAATTTATTATACAGCAACAGATAACTATATAATATAATGGTGGAAACAATAGTAACAACAACTGAAAGACATGCAAATTTCCAAAAACTGGAAAGCAAATGGAGGTGTGTGTACAGATGAAACAGATGAGGAAGCCAGAGTCCAGAATAAGTTCAAGAAGGGATATACGTGTCAAGGGAAAGACATCTGCTAAGGAGGAGCCTCAGCAAACACCAGGCCTGTAGTCGGCAGGTATGAGAGCAGGATTGAAGA